CTGAGGAGGTGGGGGCTCTGTGCCCCACACAGTAGAATGTCCAGCTAGACTGGCACCCTGCCCATGGGTGGGTGCCTCCGTCAGACGGCTTGTTTCCGCAGGCTGTGGGGCACTGCCCCAAAGGTGCCCCCTCGGCCTTCAGCCTCTGCCCACTGCACTTCCGTTAAGAAATCTAGCCCAGCCAGCGCTGTGCAGTAGGACTCTCAGCAGTGAGGGCAATGCCCTCCATCTGTGCAGTCCCTATGGGAACCACAAGCCACATGTGGCTGTTAAGCTCTGCGGTGTGGCCAGGAGCCGTGAGAAAGCAGATGTTTAACTTTCAGTCAAATAGCCTCAGAGGGGTAGTGGCTCTCATATTGGAGGTCTAGACTAACAATTCTGTCCATCCGACGTGGGCTCCCCCTGGGTGCCCAGGAAGGTGCAGGCGGAAGAGGAAATGTGTAGAGGGGGAGACTGGTGGACACTTTAGTCGGGCTTCATAATCAGGCCCCGAACTGGCCTGATTCCAAGCTTGGTCTGCCCAGGCTGGGCAGCACGAGGTCCATGGTGTGAGTTTCAGCTGCCCACCTCGCTGAGTGACCTCTCTCAAGGCCATGCTCTGAGCCTGGAGCTGACTCTGGGGGGACAGCTACTGGCTCCCTGCATGAGCCCCAGCCCAGACCCCACCTTCCAAACACACGTGATCCCTCTGAACTCCCCTTACCTGTTGGTGGTCCCAACGAGAATGCTCGTGTGTCCGAGCACACACGTGTCCACCTATGGGCATGCATTTCTGTGTCCAGGGCTGCCCCTGTCTTGGCCCTCGGCTTCTTCGTTCTCCTCCATGTCACTGCCCGGCCCTGTCTCCACGCCCTCGGCTCCTCTGCCCTCCCTGTGAACTGTGTTGTTCTGAGTCCCACCTCAGTTTCCTCATTGCCCGGTGCCCCCAGCTGACAGAGTGCTGCTCTTGTCACACCCAGCAGCTGCGTGCAGAAATGCTACTGCAAGCCACAGCGGGCTCAGCAGCACTCTTGCAAGATGTCAGAACTGTCCACCATTACTCTGTAAGTGTGCGTGGCGTGGCTGTGGCCCCGTGTCCTGGAGGGGAGGGGGACGCATGCTGCTGCCACTGCCTAGAGCCTGCGTTCCCTCGCTGGGTTGGAGGAGAGCAGAGAGCAGCCTGTGTCTCTAGCCCTGAGCCCTTTCCTGGCTGTTGCATGTTGACGTCTGTGTGTCTTGTGAGCTCTTTGCAACCTTGTGGCCTGGGGGGGGGCGGAGGTTGTGGGGACAGAGCTGCAGCCATTGGGGGAGCAGCAGGGGCTTGGCCAGTGCTGAGGAAGGGCCCCGGCTGCCGCTGCTGCCTTGACGTGTGGTCTTTCCCAAATGCCCCACTTCCCTGGACTCGAGTCTTTGGAACTGCCAAGTCCTTCCTGATAGTCTGGGAGCTTGAGTTGAGATAGACTGGCCACCTACATGGGACAGACCCTCAGTGCAGTGACCCTCATTCACACTTCACGTGCCCAGCTGGTGGTCACCTTCTTAGTTCCCACAACCACCCTATGGGATGAGGACTTGTAATTATCTCCAGTTTGCAGACAAGAAAACTGAACCCAGAGAGGTAAAGTGACTCCTCAGGACACACAATTGGCAGGGTGAGGATTTGAACCCAGGGGATCCTGTCACCCGACCCCACGGTAGCTCTGACGGGAGCAGCCACCTCATTTGGACATCACTTTAAGTGGGGGAGCCCACTGTCCTTGGGCAGCTCTGACTGTTGGAAGCTCTTCTTGGTATTTTTAAAGGACTTTCCTGCCATTGATGTCTCCTTGGGGCTGGGGACAGACACCAAGGCCCTGTGTCACTGTTTCTCCAGGTTAATCAGGTCATAGGGTGATTCTGTGACATCCTCAAAGGGGTATCCTGAGGCTCACATCACAGGTCCCTATTCCATGGCTTCTGCGCAGGTCTGAAGTGTGGAGGCCCCAGGACCCTGGGCCCTAATGACCTCATCTGCCCCCACTGCCCTGTCTGCCGGGGTCACTGAGAGGCCCTGGGTCCCTGGCCGAAGCCCCTGACCATTGTGGGCTGCCGCAGGGTCGCTGGTGAGGGGAGGTGTGGCCCCTGGACTGTGCGATGGGACACCCCACTGCCAGTTGCCACACTCTCCAGGGGCAGGGAAGGGACCAGAACCCCTGCCTGAAAGGTCGCCGTTTCTCATGCACTGATCCCGTCCACTGCCACCATAAAAGCTGGAGAGGTTTGGCCTTCGGGTTTCCAGAGCGCTTTTCTAACTGCAGGGGCAAGTCTCTGGCAATAGGCCCATTTGTGGAGGAAGAGGCAGGAGAGAGGCGAGCAGGGACCCCAGGCCCAGAGCCACCTTCCCTTTGGAGCCCCTTCAATTACGCTGCTTTTGTAAAGTCACCCCTTTACCCATTTACTCCACAACGTCCACACACCTGCATTTCCAGGCCACGCTCCCCGCCTTTTCAGACTTTTCGATCTTCAGCCAACACTCCCTGCTGCCTCCTGGTGCCAGGCTCTGGGGCCCTGGAGATGAGCAGGACCCGCGCGCCTAGGCTCATGTTCAGTTTTAAGGACTCTGAGGCTTGCATGGCGGGTCTCTGTGGTCCACAGGTTCCTTCGTGGACAGGCACTTTCCGAGTGTGAGCTCCGTGCCTGGCACGTCCCGGCCGTGGAAGATAGCAGACGGTGATGCGCCACGCCCGCCTTCAAGGCGCCACAGTCAGAGCGAGACCAGACAGAGGAGAGGAAGGGTGGGAGGGTAGAGCACTTGAGGACTGCACCTGGGCTGTTGGCACCAGCCCTGGTCCAGGGACCCCAGGTCTGGCCGAACAGGCCACCAGCAGAGAGAGCGTGGGTGGGCGCCCAGCACGCGAGGGCTTCTTTCTTCCAGGCACGAGCTGTGGTCCACCTGGAGGTCTGTCCAGGTGATGCCTCCCCTTCCTCCATGTCTCCTGCTGTCCTCCTCTCTCTTCCTCCTCCCCGTCCCTCCGTCCTTCCTGCTCAGTAGGCACTGGGAAGCCAAGGGTGGCACTCAGACTCCATGGATTTGCTCCTTCTGAGATCTGGAGCCCCGATTCAAGAGAACTTCTCTCAGAGGGGCTGGGTTGGGGGAGAGGGAGCAGAAGATGGTGTAACTGCCTCAAATCAAACAGCTGCCCCCACGCCTAGCTGTCCAGCCCGTGGGCCGAGCTCTGCCAGGAGAGGGGAGGTTGAACCTCCCACTCGCCCCTGGCTCACCGGGCCCGGGGGGCAGACTGCACCGGCAGGGCAGACCTCCTTGAGGAGGCTCTGAGGGAGCCAGCCTGCTGGGGTGGTTGGAGATGGGGTCTCAGCCTTGGAGCACCCTGGAAGCCCCTCTCCTGACAGGGCAGGACCCAGATGTGTAGGCACTGTGCCCCGTCCCTCAGAGCAGAGCCCCACCCCGCTGGGCCAAGGAGTCAGTTGCAGGTAGAGGAGCCCCAGAAGAGCTGGCCTTGGGGGTGCAGAGGTCCTTTTGGCCCTTTCTTCCATGCCCACCCCACCCCCGAGCAGACAGCTTTCTCTTCCTCTGACTCAGTTTCCTGGGTGGCAGATTTGTCCTGCTTGGATGGGGATGGTTTATGCCCACAGTCAGTAAGTCCTTCCAAGGAGCCTGCCCACGTGTCTTCTGTGGCCCCCACCATGCCCCCCACCCTACCTCCTTGTCGTCAGTACTTCCCCGTCATGCTCCATGAGTATCCCTGGCCCAGACTCAGAAACACCAACTACCCTTCTAGGCACACGGATCTTCCTTCCAGAGCAGGACAACGTTTGCTTTGCTTGAGGTCCTACCCTGTCGCTCAAGCCTTCCAGACCCATCCTGTATTTTGCCCTGACTTCACTTTTCCCAAGGGTTTTGCAGCTCCCAGGAAGGGCGTCTATAACTCACATACTCACATGTGCACACTTAGTGGTTGTACAGGATACTGATATGGCCTAGAGGGATGGGTACCCTGCAGACTAGGGGATGTCCCCCCCCCAGAATCTCCCAGGGACGGGGTTCCCACACCCTTGGGGAGAACCCTGTGGGGGTCCATGGACAGGGGTTCAGCTCTGGGGGAGAGGAAAGGTCTGGGCCTGGGGTCTCTGACCTCCACGGCTCTGGTCCAAGCCCTGGTGGCCCCTGGAGCAGGTGTCCGGCTCTCTCCTGACAGACGGCTGGCCCGGTCCACCCTGCTGCTCATCCCGCTGTTTGGAATCCACTACACGGTGTTTGCTTTCTCCCCGGAGAGTGTCAGACAGAGGGAGAGGCTCGTGTTTGAGCTGGGGCTGGGCTCCTTCCAGGTACGTGTGGCGTGGGCAGGGGGGTGAGGGGTGGGCTTACATGGAGTCAGGGCCCTGGCCCTAACCTGCTGGTGGTTCTAGAAACTTCTTTAACCTAAACCAGGCCTCCATGTTTCGTCTCTGAAATAAGAGTACTAAAATAGAAGGGAGCTGGGAGGGCCCTTTCTGCTGCCTACGCTCTGGGCTCCTGTGAGAAAATGCACTGATGTCCTCCTGTGGCTGTGCCTGGGTGTCCTGAGCCAGGCCTCTCGGGGGCCACCTAAGATGGCACTCGCCATCCCTCACCAGTGGCCCCAGGTGTGGGCGCAGTGCCCTCTAGAGACCTCTGTGTCCACGTCCTGACTTCAGTCTGTAGGCTGTGTACCCCATAAGCACTGGAGCTCTGTCTTGCCCAAGTCAGGATCCCCAGTACAGGACCTGGTCCCAGATTGCTGAGTGAGCTGAACTGGGGGAGGAACACACAGAAATATAAATAAATGACCCAGGGAGTGAGAGAGTGGGTAGACTAGTGACTTCATGCGTGAAGGAATACGTGGGTGGGCTGTAAACAAGTGAGTTGGTGTGTGGATGCACAGGGAATGAAGGATCAGACGGGAGCATGGGTGGGTTGTGAAGGCAGGGCCGGCTCCCTTGAGTGTCCCCAGGATACAGCACCTCTCCCTAACCCAATTGTTTAAATGAGTTATTTGACCTTGATGGTCAGAAAGTTTCTCTGTGTATCTGACTCGAGTCTCGCCTTTCCCCCATTTGAATTCTTAGCCTGGCAAGGCTGGATGTTGTATAGACGAAGCCCCAGCCTGGGAGTCAGAGCCTGGGGTCCCTGTCTCAGCACAAGGAATCGAAATGCAAAGAATACGTGTAAAGACTATGTGCAAGATAGCTGAACGCCTGCTGTGGGCCAAGCACGCACTCACATGGTGTTTGGGTGTGCTGTGCACAGGGGTGTCTAGTCTAAGGAGGGCGGAGTGGGGAGGGGGTGGGGGGGACACAGGTCTGTGCTGTCCTGGAGGGGTACTGCCCTCAGGAGGCCTGCAGGCTGGTTGGGGAGCCCGGAGAACATGCTGGGGCATTCAGGGGGAGGGGAAGCCTCCTACAGAAAGAGGGATAGACCTGGCCCTTGGGAATGGGAAGAATTTGACCAAGGAAATGTGAGATCCAAAGCCAGGTGTGTGTCAATGGGAAGGGACACTCTCACAGGCCACTTGGCTTCATGGGTGTGGCCATCTTGGTGGAGCAGAACTTGTCCCATCTTACCCTGGATTCCTGGGCAGGTAACCCCCATCCAAGTTATCGTATTTTTCTGCTTCCTGGTGTCACTCTCAATTCCCTCTGCCTCCCACACGCCCCACACGGAAGGTTTCTTGCTAGTGTGCTCATGTCTTTTTGCTCTCTCCCCCCAGGGCTTTGTGGTGGCTGTTCTCTACTGTTTTCTGAATGGGGAGGTAAGACCCCGGCCTTCTGGCTTCTTAGCAGGGAGGGGGGACATGGTCAGGAGCAGACAGGGGTGTGGCCTGCTGGCCACCCAGGGCTTAGTCTCCAGACCAGGGCTTTGCCAGGCTCCCAGCACCTGCAGGAGGGGTGCAGCAACCATATAGCAAGGGCTCCTGACAGCCTCCACCCTGGGGCAGAATCTTTTCCACAAGGCCCAACCTCTGGAACGGAGCTCCCCTACAAAGGCATCAGCTGCTGAGCGCAGATCCGCCTGGGAGGGCTCTCACCATCAGAACCACCTTAATAAAGAAGGAAGTGAGGCAGGACAAGGCACAGGAGATTGTACCTATGGTTCATGAGGCTGTGATGAGCAGGGTGCTGCGTGGGGATCGGCCCAAAGCTCAGCACTGCTCCCAGCAGGCAGCTCGCCTGCCCAAGCCCATCCCCTACGGAGAGGGGACTATGGGAACTTGGCAGAGACCATGGGGAGAGGCCCACAACCTCTGGTAATACTCCATTTCCAGAGCTATGGTCTTGGGTGTTCTATTGTAGCCTGTTAGGGTGATGCTTGTGAGCAGAGCCCAGCACAAATAGGGGGCCGGGGGCAGGTGGGTGGGATGGCCTTGGAGAGTGGGTGGGAGCCACTGCACCAGGGCTTGGGCCTTTGCTGTGAGGCCTCAGCAGTCTCTTCTTTTTGCATCTGAGAAACAAGAAGACTGGGCTCTGTGATCACCAAAACAACCGACAGAAGGGTCAGACAGGACAGATAAGCAGACAGGGCCCTGCAGGGAGTGGCTGGGTGAGACAAGGAGTGGGAGTACATGGGGCTTATCCAGGGCCTGCTGCGGAAGCACGCGCTAGAACTAGCAGGGGTGGGCACCAGTACCATGCCAGTTGTGCAGTGTGCGCACTGCACAAAGATGCAGGACTGAGGGGGTCTCTAGAGGCTGGAATTCGGCATGCCCTGCACACACCATGCTAAGAGCACACGGGCGGGTGTTTGCCCAGAGGGGTGCGTGATTCAGTGGTTCTCAGCCCTGGCTACATATTGGAATCCCCTGGGAAGTTTGCCCCAGAGATTTTGATGTGATTGTTCTGGGTATGGTCTGGGCATCCGGATTTTTAAAGTTCTCCAGGGGGTTCTAACATGTAGCTCACTGCTGGTGGTCACCAAGAATGGAGCTCCTTGCTCTGATCTGTCGGTCCTGAGGGCTGGCTTTTTGAAGATTCCCTGAAAGACCCGATGGGCTAGCCTCTGACTGGAACACGAATGGCCAGGAGCCGAGGCCCATGGACTCCAGGAAGCCATTAGAGGGCCTCGCTCAGGCAGTGACATGGGCAAGGGGCTGAGGTCAGCTCCTCAGAGTGCTCCATTCCATTCCCACTGGGGACCCCAAGGACTGCGAGCTGCAGTTTGGGAGTTGGCAGGGTTCTGCTGGAAGTGGCGGTGCCCGTCTGGCAGGGCCCCAGGGCAGGCAGACAGGTGCATGAGGTTGGAGAAGATGTCCGCCTGGAAGTGACCGCCTATGTTGCTCCCTGCAGGTGCAGGCAGAGGTCAAACGTAAGTGGCGGAGTTGGAAGGTGAACCGCTACTTCGCCGTGGACTTCAAGCACCGGCACCCATCCCTGGCCAGCAGCGGGGTGAACGGAGGCACCCAGCTCTCCATCCTGAGCAAGAGCAGCTCCCAGATCCGCATGTCTGGCCTCCCGGCTGACAACCTGGCCACCTGAGCCTCCGTCCCCCGCCCTCTCCTCCACACACAGGCTGGGGCTGCAGGCGGGTGCTGGCCCACGCATGTTGCACCTCTTCTCTCCCTTCGGGCAGGCCCTGGGCTGGAAGCTGGGCTCCTCGAGGGGGCAGAAGGACGCAGGGCGCAGATGGGTGTTCCCCCAAACCCCTTTTTGCACTGGCCCCACCCACCATGGGACCCCTGGGCCCTGACCCCATACATGTAAATACTCCTCAAATTTTGAAAAGCTGTCCCGTCCTGACTCCTTTGCCCAGTGTCCCTGCTCACCTCAAGCAGGTCCCCAGTCCCACCCCACCTGTCTCCTCCGGCCCCGGTCATCACTTGGCCTTGTGCGTGAGGCCCTGTGAGTGAGGCTGATGACCTAGCTTTGGGGGGATTGGGTGGGGCCTGCCTGGCAGCCCCCGCAATGTCTGATTCTCGGTGTGGAGTCCTTGAGTCTGCTCACTACCCTGGGGCCCTTCTCAGGCCTGGCCTAGTCCCTGAGGCCGGCCAGAGGTCCAGCTTGGATGGTCAGTGTCCTTCTGTGCAGGCCAGACATGAAGCTCCCTTGTGCTCACCCAGCATCTTGGTGTCCATGTGCCCGGCTCGTGGGTATCCGGGCCACGGGACAGCTCCAGGACTCTTTCAATCAGAGACTTCAGTTTGGGTGTGGGGCTAAAGGTCTGGGAAAGTTCTGGTGCTTTTCATTTGGCCCAAGAAAAAATGCTGGGAGCCAGAAATGTGGATGCGATTGAAAAGGAGATGGAAAGAATTTAGGGAGCCATGGAAGAAGACCTTCACCATCTCCACTGTTTTACCCCCAACTCAAGGTGGGCAGGGGTTTGCCTGGTCGCCTCCCTCCTGCCCCTCCCACCTCAGGCATCAGCTGTGGAAGGTGATGACAGATGGATGCCTCAGAGAAACTGCTCCCCAACCATGCCTACCCCCCAGAGCCCCTGAACACCACCTTCTCCACTTTCCCTTAAGCCCAAGCCACGCGAGGATGAATCAGACGCCTTGCTGTGACGTCAGTGAATCCTGAAGCACCTTACACCTCCGTGTGCCCAAGTCCAGGGCACAGGGCTCCCCACCCCCACCCCACCCCCATGGATGGTGAGGGAGCGCCAGCCACCAGCTCTTTTGGACTTAGACTCAGATACTGAAATCTCGGAGACATCTGCAAAGACGTGTCCCTCAGCTCTTGTCGTTGAATCACTGCAGAAGGACGCTTGGCTGCCCTGGGTGTTGAGAGGGGAAGCCACGCCCACCACGGCTGTTAGCAGAGGCTGCTGATGGAAGGGGTGGGCACCCTCACATCTGTGCTGTCTCCCCATAGCCTAATCATTTAAAATGGAGTGGAACCAAGTTTGTGGAAAGTGCTAGAGTGTAGGGCCCATGTGTGGGGCCTGCTTTATTCCATGTCAGCATTTGGGGTTCTCGTTCAAGTGCGTTTGTGGGCTTGTTTCATGATCACGCTCAGGAATGCTGGCAGCGTTTTGGTGGCGGAAGAATGTTGCTTTGCCAGGTGTAGAAAGAGGAAGGGACTGGGGGGCTTGTGGAAATGTTTGTTTCTGGAGAGGCCTTCGAAGTGACTGGAGAAGGGCGTAGCTGCTTGGTTTAGAGATGAGTCCTATGTCCTCGGCCAGTGAAGCACTGTGGACCCCGGGTCTTCGGCAAAGCCGGAGAGAGAAAGGGAGCCGCCCGCCATTTCCTGGACACATTTGGTGACTCAGGTTAGCCACTGAGCCTGGACAGAGCGCTCCCTATCTGGGCCTCAGTTTCCCCATTTGTGAGATGGGGCCATTTCTAATGCTCCTCCGGGCTCCACATTTCAGTAATTCTCCAGTTCAAAAGTAAGGCAGGTCAAAGGGTGTGCATCATTGTTATGCGTATCATCTGAGGTTTTGAAGTAGATGTTTGTGTATGTGGGGAGGGTGGGAGATGCTCTTTCTACTTAGAAATGGAACATTTGTCTCTCCCATTTGGACACCACAGTTGGCGCTGGTGGGCTGGAGAGAAGGGCTATTCCCGGGACAATTGGACAGGTGCCTTGGGTGCAGACCCAGCCCTATCCCAGGGCAGGGTTCCACGACTGGGTGGGCAGTGGTCACCTCCAGACCTTGGGAGTGGTCCCCCGAGTATGGCCCCTGTTTCTTCACCCTCACCCCCACCAGCAAGTCGGCTTCACTGTGGAAGAAGAGGCTTTGACTTTGTATATAGATCACCACAAAACAGCAAAAACAAAACAACCCCAGATTCCTTGTGCTGCTGCCTGAGCCCTGGGCCTGCATCCTCATAGAGGTTCCAGGTTCTCGCTTGTGTGTTTTTATCTCTGAGTGAACTATTGCCAGTCTTGTGAGCAGATGTGTTTGATGCATTTTGAATGTTCCAGGAGGTTAGGCACCTGGCCTTCAGGGTCACAGGCATTGGGGGGACAGCATGAGGTCTGGGTAAAACCCTTCCCTCCCTGACCCTTTGTTTTCGTATCTGTAAAATGGGCAGTAAGACTAGATGATCTGGTTAGCTCATTGCATTTCTGAAATTGTCTGTCTAAACACCAGCCATCTACTCGGACTGGACCCTGGGCAAGGACTGCAGTATTTGCCTGGTCCAGGAAAAGATAAGAAATCGTGTTGAGTGAGGAGGGGTTGAGGGCCTTGGGAATAGTTAGGCTGGAGAGGAGCAGAGGTCCTGACTCCATGTCTCTAGAAGGTCATTACCAGGAAGGGGGTTATTTTTGTGCAATCCTAAAGGACGAAACTCACCCAGTGGAGGCTGAGTTCTCCTTGGGATGAAGAAATCTCTCATCTTCTGTCATGACTGTCCTGCCATGGCAGTGCCAAGAGACAGTCTCCAGTCCTGGGGAAAATGGGACTCCAAGTCAGGGCTGCTGAGGCTGTCAAGGAGCCTGTGTGGGGTCAGAATGTGGGGTTTGGTGGCTCTAGTGCCCAGCATTGCAGGGGACTCCCCCCATGTCTGAGGCCAGGCCACATGCTCTGTCTCAGTGGGCAGCTCTGTGACCCTCTTTGACATATCCAGTGGCCTTCAGTGACTGCTTCTCTACCCTCTCCCCCTCACCTCCTCCCCCACACCCCCCAAGCCCCAAACTGGCTTCTCTGGAGAATAGGGCGAGGGCACTGGAGCCAAGGCAAGACTTGACATACCTGAGTCCGTTATCACCCACCAAGGGTGCTGCCTCATCTCCTTCATCTGACCTTTTCCCTTCCCAGAAAGAAAGCTGGAAGATGTTTTCCTTGTAATTCTGTGAGTACCCTTGACCTCCTCAAAGCCACTCCAAAGTGAAAGCAGTAAGTGCTTTGTCACCCTAAACCCATACTTGAGCCCAGTGACCCTGGAAGCTGCTGGGAGAGCCCTGAGCGGAGAGTGGAGGACCCGGGCTTCTCCCAGCTTTGCCGCTCACCTGCTGTTTGTTTGGCCTTGATTCCTTCCCCATGTATCTTTGGGGAGTCTCACAAAGTACTAGAACTGGCAGGAAACTTAGAGATCTGCAGGTCAGTCCCCCATCGGGCTGATGAGAAAACACAGATGGGCCTAGCCGAGTGCCTGCCACGACGCTGGGATCCAATATGCTTTGCAAACCTGGATGAGGAAGTGGGACCGACAATATGTGTCCAGCCCTGCACACAAGCCCAAACGAGACCCTCAGTAAAGCTTCTATGTAGAACATCCAGCCTTGCCCAAGAAGGGGCCTCTGGCTACGGCAGTTGTTAGGACTCCCGAACGCAGGGGGCATGATGGAGTCGGTGTGTTGCGGGGAGACTTGCGTGCTAGCTGGGCTTCACCACCTGCTCTGTGCCCCAAGGCTGTACCTCTCTGGGCCTCTGCTTTGTAATCTGAGAAATGGGAGGATGTGATTTGTGGTCTGCCCCACAGGACAAGGATGGGGCTGAAGTGAGATGCCCTGTGTGTGAAAGGGCTGTGGTAACTACACAGGTGTGGCTGGTTATTGGGGTGAAGACCCCAAAAAGGAACCCTGTGCTGTTTGTCAACAGTTTTGAGCCCTCCTGGGTTAACCTTTGTCCCATCTGTAAAAACCACCAGCCCCGGGGTCAGGGGGGCGGCCAGGGGCTCTAATGGACACAGGATTCCAGGTTTACCTCCATCTGCTTATTCAGTTTGTCCTTGTGGTTAGGATGGGGAGACTTCCATGTGGGTGATGTCAGCATTTCGAAGCCACCCCCATGGAAATCCTTCAAAGATCTGAGACGTCCCTCAAAGGGGCCGAGTGTCCATTCCTTCTTTCCTTGAACTCGCGGTCCTGGGATGTGTCTGTGCTTGGCCACGTGTATCATGTCCTGTGTCCGTCCTCTGTAGCTTTGCCCCTATGAGGGCTGGTGGGGGGCAACTCCTGGCACCCCAGACATCACTGTGGGAGCCGGGCCAGCCTGGGTTTTATGTCCCACAATAAAGACGAGCCCCACAGACCTCACTGCGGCCGCTGTCACCATTAATGCCGTGCTCACAACCTTGTGTGGGATTTTAAGGATGTCAGACTGCTGTAGATGACTCAATAAATGTCTTATCATTTTTTCCTGGCGTCTGTAACTTGGCAGACGTGGACGGCAGGGAGGAGAGGGGGTGGAAGGGGTGGAAATCCTGTCACCCAGAGTAATCCTGGGCCTTGTGACCCTTTAGATTCTGAAGGAGAAGTGTGAGACTGGGCCTGAATGGGCTTAGGGTGGACTCGGAAAAGTCAAGTCCTGGCCGCCAAAGGATCTGCGGGGAGCATGCACCGTGCGTGGAGTCAAGGTCACTTGGATGGTCTGGGTTGCTAGAAATGGGGGCAGCTCACCCCATAGTCCTTGTTGTCTCATGGCCGTCGTATTGTTTTGTGACCTTGGCCACCAGATATCCCTAAAGCTTGTCTACATGAGCATTTCCTTCCAGGTAACCACAGGTGCACCAGTGGCCGCCAGAATCCCATCCCTAGTGCTTCTGGACATTCAGAGCCATCAGACCCTGCCAGACTAGGTAACCAATTCCAGGTAACCCCCATTTCCTTGAGGTTCTCTTGATTGTCACACCTCAAGTGCCCACGTGTATATGAGTCCAAATTGTTGCTAGTTGCTAGCCACAGAAGATAATTTTGACTGATAAGTCAGAAAAGGAGGGAGTTTAGTTCAAAAAAGATGTTGGGCAGCTCATAGAATTCTTGTGAGCCTGAGAAACCAGAACTGATGACAAAGCTGTTGGCTGCTGCCGCCGCTGCCTGGGACCCAAACTCACCACTGCCATTGCTGAAAGCAGATAGCTTTGCTGCCATTCTCACTGGCAAATCCGATTCCACGGGCAGCCTCTTTCCTCAGCTTGCTCACGTCTGAATCAAAATCTCACATGTGTCCTTTGGGTTAGCTGTGCTCCATTGCAGGGGAGGCTGGCCATTCGGCTGTTCTGGATTCTGTCTTGGGGAGGGTGGGCTCGGAAGTCTGGAAATTTTCTGAACTGAACAATTGTATTAGAAGTCCTAAAATAATAAATGCCCGCCACCGCAGGCCTGAGGAATCTATAATAGCAATTGCAGAGCCAGCTCCAGTGATCAGGTAGGCCACTCCGAAGAAGCCAAGTCAACGGAAAGATAGCATGTGAGCCCGACACCCAGCTCGGCCACTTGCCAAATGCACCCAGGTGTCAAGTGGGGGGTGTTCCCAGCTGCGAGGCTGGCTGGTTCCGCTCCCTGAGACTCAGACTCGGGGGAAAGTGAGAGAACGCCAAGTCCCCCTCTTTCTAGTTGATTTCCTTTTAAGAAGCCTCACCTCTGCTTACCTCTCATTGTCCAACAGGTATTCACATGGTCACACGTCACTGTGAGGCAGGTGAGGGTGTGCACCTCTGATAACAATGGAAGAAGAGAATGGGTTTTGGCGGGCAAACAGTAGTTTGTGCTATAGCCTCAAACCCCCAGATCTTTGGGGGTTCAGGTGGTGTTTACTAGGTTCATCTATACCTGTGAGAAACCAGGGGCTGGGTGAGCCCATGGATGTCCCACTCTGCTACACTGGGAACAAACTAGGGCATGCAGTCACCAGCCTGCACTGTAGAATGACCCTGGAGCACCCCCAGTCAGCGCTGTGGGATGCCCACCGGCACGTCAGCATCACTACTGGTGTCCTCCATCCCCCTTGCTCTCATGACGGCATTTTCTGAGTGGATTCTGCTCTCTCATTCTGCTCTGCTCTCTCCTACATTATTTAATCTCTTTTTAATTTGGGGGTATCATCAGAGTAATGATGTAGTTATGTAGTTCATAATTTTTTGGTCTTTTAATTTCTGTCAGTTGCCCTGAAGTGAACTCGCCTTAGGTGCTTTTGAGCCATGCCAACTTTGTTAGACTGCCCCCTGGTGGATGCTCCCCGCAGCTGTTCTGGTTTGAACATGAAGGCGATTTTTCCCCTGTCCTGGATGCAAAGATTATGAATTTGACGCCTGAAACTCAGTCGCCAAGCGCTCTTCTAACTTTCAGGATGCAGTTTTGTAAATGCTTCTGTAGAGGTAGTTTTTCTTCTTGGCCTGTGAAATAGTTCTTTCTTAAATTTCTTTAAAGGCGAAGCTTAGGGGTGTCAATCTTTTTAGGAGGATGATGGCAAGAGGGGATGTGCTTTTCATTTATTTGCTCAACAAATACTTGTTGAGCATCAAACTCTTCATTTAACAGACATGTCTCAAGTGCTTTCTATGTTCTGCCATTGGTGAGCATCACAGATAAGGTCCCTGTTCTCAGGAACTTACCTTCTAAAGTAAAGAAGGAAATAAATTAGGTAATTTCAGGTTGAGGAAAGGGTTATGGAGAAAATAAAGTAGTATTTGATAAGTAGAGAGCACTGGGTGTGGGGCGAGCTATTTTAGATAGGGCGGCCAGGAAGGGCCCATCTAAGATGCAGACATTTAAGCATCTAAACATTCTGCCCCTCCCAGCCTCAGTGGCCCATCTTTTGGGGGTCCCTCCAAACACCTCAGGGAAAAGCATTCTAAGTAGAGGGACTGGCAAGAATAAATGCACCAAGGGATGAAATAAACGGACATGTCCAAGGCAGGCTGTACCTCTTTCCTAGGGTTGCCATAAAAAATTACCATAAACTGGATGGCTTAAAACAACAGTAATAAATTCTCTCACAGTTCTGGAGGCCAAGAGTCTAAAATTAAGGTGTTGGCAGGACACTACTCTCTGAATGCCCTAGAGGAGAATCTGTTCCATGCCATTCTCTTAGCTTTTAGTGCTGCTGGCCATTTTTGGCATTCCTTGACTTGCAGATGCATCAGTCCAGCCTTTTCCTCAGTCACCATGGCTTTCTCCCTCTATGTCTGTCTGTCTGTCTGTGTCTCTCTATCTTCTACTCTTCCTATAAGGACATCAGTCATATTGGACACTACTCTAATCCAGGATGACCTTGAATTAACTAATTACACCCACAAAGACCCTCTTTCCAAATAAGATCACATTGACAGGTACCTGGAGTTAGGATTTCAACGTGTCTGTGTGTGTGTGTGGGTGGATGGGTGGGGTGGGGTGCACAACTCAACACACACCAAAAGTCAATGGAGTTTGAAGGTTCACTGGCTTAGCAGACACACTGCTTTGACTTAGATTCTCAGGTTTCCCCTGGAAATTCACTGGCTCCTAAGATTCTATTGCCTGTTAGATCACAACCCCCACACAAGCATCCCCAATCTTAGGGGGCCCAGTCTCAGCTGGTGAAGCTGGATGAAATTCATTCACATGGGCTGGACACTGATCTTCTCTCTCTGTCCAAACAACCCCAACTTCCAAAGATACTGAGTGCCCACTTCAAAGCAGAAACAAAAGCAAACCAAAACAAGCTTCCGACACTCAGCCACACAGCCCCATGGATGCGGGAAGACTCATACAAAACCATCATTTACATCTATTCCAACTCATGCCGACGCTCACATAGGGATTTGAGAGTGAAGTCTCAGCTTAAGTCAGTGTATCCCCCACCAACTCAATGGGAAAAATCTTTGCTCTGGCCCTCAGGGCTCTCTCTCAGGCCACCCCTCTCAGTCATTCTTCTCTCTCTTTCCCTTCCAGACAGACCCCCACCCCAATCTGTTTTATTCTTCATACTTCCCCTCCCTCATCCCAGGTTGCTCCTCTACCTTTGATCTAGACTCAGATGTGACTTGGTGGTCAATGCTTTCCTTGAGCTGATGCTCTTTTGGTGCCCCTGTCTTTCGGGTTTCCCTGACACTTGGGAGTCATCTGTGGTTTTCTCTTCAACCCCCTTCTCTTTAGACAGCCTCTCCATGGACAAAACCATCCATTCCTATGCATTAACCATGACCTCAGCTGATAATCCCAACTCTGCATCTCCGGGCACAATCTGTTGGCACAGACGGGTTTATGCAGTAAGCACCATGGAGAGAGCCGAGTGAACTCCAGTTCCAGCACCATAGACAGTTCCAAGATTCTGTGCCTACCTCAGCGTGGGATCTTTGTGTGGCCAGTTTATCTGACGTGAACAAAGGCAGGCCTAGGTTTTATGGGTTCTGAAGCTCATATATTTGTGTGTGGGGGTCCACTTTAATGAAAATGCGAACATTTAAATTAAAAACCGGTATAATAATAGGGTTTTTTGAATGACAAAAGTTGACAACTAACACAAATATTATAAAATCAAGAAAAATAACATCATATGTGTATAAATTACTCTACAATACTTTTTTTTTGCCCGGCTCCATACATGCCAAACTTTGTTTCTCCACCACTACTGACACTGTAGGACATTTTCATATTATGATGTGATCTCTGGCCTTCTGCCTTTGTTTGTAATGCAGAGTGGAATACATACATACATATATATATATATATATATATATATATATATATATATATAATTATAATGAAGCAACAGTACACTATTTAATTGGAACCCAAACTGAATATATCTCTAACTTAACTTCCCCTTAGCTAGATACTGAAAGTTCTCATGGTCAACTCATGACTATGTGATACATGAAATGGTGTTAGGTTTTCAATCTTTTTGAACATATAGCATTTTGACTGCTAGAGACTTCTGATATAGCTGGGTGGGGGGTTGGCAAGTAAATTTTTCCAAGAGAATTTGCTCTTGAGCTTGAGTATTAATGAGCAAAAAGGACAGGAAGAGAGGAACAAAACAACTTTGAAGCAGAGAAAATAGTATTAGTATAGACTTCTTCACTTTCTTCTGAAAAGCTTTCCATGAGCTCAAATCTGCTTAAATGCCTTGGAGGTTATCTCATAAAATTCTGTACTGAAGCCATGTTGAGTTTTTCACTCTCATACAAGAAATATCAATGGCACATCTATTAAGTTCTAGGTGCTTTAGGTGCCTGAGATTAAAACCATGAGTTAAGGATAAGATTTTTTTTCTTATAGGAAATAAATTCTAATCAGGGAGGCAGAAAATACATTGGAAAACAAATAAATTAAGACAATTTCAGGTAGTGCCATCTATAAGACAAAACAGGGTAACTGGATAGAGAAGGGACAGAGCAGATTTTAATAGGGTGCCCAAGGCAGGCCGCTCAAGAAGGT